ATGCACACATTTAAAAGATGACAACCTCACTGCTAATAAGGTTGATGGCTAACATCTAAAACTAACATTTCATCAAGACCCTTCCCTATCCTAACTTCTAAGGTAGAGACTCGGCTTCACGTGATTGGTATACGTCACCTTCCTATTGCCAGCAAAACAGGGCCCTGTGGCTGACACCTTAATATAATGCTTTGTTCATAATATCCACAAGCTCATAGGAACATGTGGTAAAGCGGACGACATTTACTCGAGCATTTCCCAAACATGACCTACAGTTAATCTGTCGGATAGACATCCAGTGTATCAATCTGCTAAGACGTCGTCAGTTCACTCACCTTCTGTTGGATCTCTGCTGAAGCCTGCGACACCGAGGCTGTATGTCCATGCAGGAGAACCCTGGAGGAATTAGGTAGGAGAGCATGAGACAGCTGATTGCAGAGGAGCAGGAGCAGCACATGCAGGCATTGGTGCAGGGACGCTTTCATTAATGCGGGTATTTGCAGCTGCATCGTTTCTAGTCATAAATTGAAATGTCTGAAGCATTTCTACTAGTCATAATGCCAAATAGGGTTAAGCAGAATGACTAATGGTCACAATGTATTTTGGATATTCAAAACTACATTATGGCTATTGAGTGTTTTTCATTTTGGATTAATTTGACTAGTAACTGATTGAAATTAGTTTTCTGAAGAATTCTATTGCATACATCCAGAATGTTCTTTGCACTTAAACAGACACCCTTCATATATCTGAGAACGTTTCAAACACTAACCAGTTAGCATAGTTAAGATTGATGACACTGCTCCATGGTATAGTCATTTAGCAGTCAGAATGTTAAGCATTAACACATGATCAAAGGTTTACTAAAAAAGGATGAGTGTTTCAACAGATATACCAGGACTCCAAGCACAGGCAGCATGGAGACCAACGATGCCAGATGTTGAGTTGGTCTAGCACTGACTTATGAACTAACCAGCTGATGAAGCAACTGGCTGCAGATACCGTACAGTGCTGTCATCAGTTCCTATCTGTAGAGATCACTGCGATTCTGGTGGCTCTTAGTTACAGTACGCTCGTTTTCGTCCCGATACCGCATGTGTTCATTTTTAACAGCCACCAGTTGGTCTGCTTTGCTACCGGGGGGGAGTGAGGTCACTGCACGCCCTGTGTACTTACATTATGTTGTTGCATGAGTGCTGAAGGCCAGGACAGTGAGCAGACCTGCAGAAGGCATGTTGAAGGTGAGAATGGTTTCCAGAAACAAGAGCATCAGTCATCAGCAGTGTGCTGTTCAGAGAGGCAGCTGTCAATCACACTTCAGAGCAGTTGAACATATTACGCCAATCATCATAACACCTGGTCAACAGTAAGTGTACGCTGGAAGATAACTCACCCAGCTGGCCTAAGGTCTTCTCCAGCACCTGCCACACACAAACAGTCTTAATTCACTGCCATCGAAACACATGAACAAGTTGACAAATTTAACAGCTGTCAATTCCCATAAGTAACACTGCTGCTGATTCAACAGCAGTGGGTTGCAAGAGAATGAGTTGCTCTGTGCACTGTATGAGCTCTAGGGCCCACCTAACAGGACCGGAGCTCATACTGTGCCAGCACTGTAGGGCTGCACATTATCAAAGTCACAATATGGCCAGGACCAATACTAACCTCATGTCCCAGAGGGGGAAGCACAAACTGTAGGAGACTGTCTCCCCATCACGTTCTGCAGCGAGGTCATTCTGCAAAGAGAGGACGGTTTTCATGTTGAAAAGTTTCCATTCATTGATGTGTAACCCGCTGCGGAGCTATACATTCTCAGGGTAATTCATGCATACAGAGGGTGAATGTGCCAGGCCTCATTGGCACCGTTCAGCAACCAGCAGTGCAGAGGTGAAAGCAAAACCTGACATTATATAGCCACCGCTGTTCTGGGATCAGCCCCACTGCACAGGAACAGTCCCACTGACTAGTCTGCACAGTGGCATCATGAATCACCATGGAGAATGAGGTCACTATATCAGCTCACATATTTGACAACCCGTTTGATAAAAATAAGTCATTTGCTGAAACTTCACTAATTCCTGACCGTACATGAGACAGATAATCTAAAAGGGGAAAAAAAAGTTCCTCATTCTAGCACTCTAATAGCATTACTGTTGTATTATCTGTCAGAATGATAGAGTCTCAATTCCAGCACTCTGGGCCTCTGGGCCTGACACTCAACTATATAGGCTTCCAACGTTTTTTATCAAATGTACCTACGGCAGCTTTAACTACAATCGGAACAACTCAACATGAACTAGTGCACTCAAGACTGCCCATATTTTATTTAAATATTTAAGGAAATTGTTACTCATTTTAGCATCAAGCTAGCTGGCAGCTAGGTTGCTATGCTAAATGAAGACAACGTGGTGCCCAAACTTTAAGTACGTCACGCTTCAAATGTCCAATAAAAGTACAGGTAACGTTACTTAACCAATGGCGGTGGTGTGTACGGCTCTGGCGCCGACCATGCTGAAAGTCCGGCACATAATTCACTCATTTTATAGCGTTTATATTTACCTAATGTGCGCGTTCTCTCCGTCAGGCGCCAACAGGACAGACTACCGAGGTAAGAGAAACCCGCCTCCTGCCGCAAAGCTATTTATAGGCTGCGTTACGTCAGTTGTAACCGCTTTGCGACAACCAGTTCTGCGTTAGGTTCACGGCAACTCGGAAATCGTGGCAACATATTTTAAGATTTATCTGAGATTATTATATGTAACTTAGTTACAAACATTTTAAGAATCAACACGACATTTATTTATTAGTTTTACAGTCACATTGTAAATTTGCTAAAGTGAAACCTCACTTTGTTTTGAGAAAAGAATTAAACTATTAACAACTTCAGGATAACAACAAAAAAGCTGTTAAAACTGTGAGACTGTGTTTTCACTAAAGTAAAAGTTCTATTTATTTATGGTAACCCCTGGCATGTTTTATAGTAATCTTTTATTTATTTGTTTGTTTATTTTAATCATATTGTTTGCCTATTTTTTATATATCTATCAAATTGGTATCCATTATTTGTATCATTGTGTTGCTAAATGAATTGAATTGAGATTGACCAATAGATCTATTAAGCTCTGTATCTACCTCTAGCCACAGTTTCTTAGTTACACACATATTAAACCTATCATGTAATATTTTTTCTGCATCCATTATTATTATTATAGAATAAAAGAGGCTGAACTTTCAACTACAGATTTTCCTCCTCCCTCAAACTGAAATAATATATAGTATTACAGCCTACTATAAATATTACTTCAGTGTTAATGTAATTTAAAAACATATTTAGATAGTATACATGTATTTTTTGCATAGAAGCGTGCATGACTGAACCAGCCCATTGGCTTTGAAAATTAAAGGAAACTGTGTGTCTTCTAGTTAACTTTAGTTAAAGTGATAAATACATGTACATTCTTAGACAGCACTAGCACTTTCCAATGAGCCCACATGCACAGTAGCAGCACGTTGACTCTGTTTGACCTGAGTAGAACAAAACCTCAATACTTATCATTGGTAATACCTGTGTTTACCTTACTATTTCATGTCAACATAGCTGCTGTGAAAAGGGTAGAGAAAGATCTCTCATTCCCAGCATTGGTATTTGACAACCCAGGAATGAGACTCAACAGTCAACTGTCTTTCTTGACTGTGATTTGTTGTTTTTGTTCGAGCACAGTGGATTCTTGCAAATACCAAATATAACAAAAAGTTATTTTATAAGTTACCTACTGCAGCTTTAATAATAAACTTCATGTATACAGTACTTTAAAAAACAAAGTTACAAAGTGCTTTACATGGTTGAACCAGAATTAAAACTGATTAATTAAAAATATAATTAAATACAATAAAAAGACAGCTCATGTATCCACCAGTTTATCAGCAGATATTCATTTAACAGATATCAGTACAGTTGTAACAATATAAGGTATGTCATGTGACACACACCTCCATGAGATTCAACACAGCCGCAGCTTCACACTGAGGACTTTATTTTTATTTATTAGGGTTCTGTTCTGAGTCAGGGTGTTGCTGTTGTGAATGTTGTCTTACTGGAAATTCTGTGCTACAATAAATTGAATGGAACTTTAAGGCTGCAGTACTAACTTTCAGAAAAAAATCATTATGTCATATTCACTGAAACTTTCATTATATCCTGAGAGTAGACCATGAGACAGAATCTGTAAAACAATCAGGTTCCTCTGGCTCCTGCTAGAATCCACCCGGCATAAACGAGAATAACCAATCAGAGCCAAGAAAGATAAAAGACCCTAGTTTCGAAGCTTAAAGATAGTTGACTGTTGAGTCTTTTACTGACACTAATTCCCAATCTGAGTGATCTGGAACTTCCGTTTTTTTATCAAGATAAGCAAACAGACAAACCATTTACACTACAAATCTATGCTTTTTAGGGTTGTTTTTGCCTTTTCAGGCCTCTAATGATTGAAATAAGAAAAGAAAAAAATCTCTCTTCACACATACACATATACAACTAATGATGGGTCAAAAGTAAATGCTCGCTTTAAAGCTCCAGTGTGTAACATTTAGGAGGATTTATTGTCAGAAATGAAATATAATATTAATAGCTGTGTTCATTAGTGGATAATCACCTGAAAATAGGAATCATTGTGTTTTCGTTGCCTCATAATGAGCGGTTTTTATCTACAGAGAGCTTCCTCAGAGGCTGCAATGTTGAACCGCCCTTTTTCTACAGGCTTTTTTTCTGCACGTCTAAGCCACTGTAGTTTTTCCCTTTCACACTTGGAAGGGGATATACCATTAGATGCCACTAAATCCTGCACACTGGACCTTTAAGGAGTCAATAAGGTTGGGAATCTCCACCAACATCTGTCTACATCCATTGTGAAAGTACCAAGTTTGAGCTCATCTTTTTGACTTTGCCATTACTGACTGATTTAATCGTTCACTCTGAGATACACAACATTTCAACTCA